TCAGTGACTTTACAATGACTCCCTTGGAATTGTTGGAAGTTAAGATCATGTCAAATAGGATTAAAAGGATTTATATACAATCAGAAAAGGATATCCTCAATTTGAGTTCACGATTTCGATGAGAGGATTGTTCTGTGCGGCTCTCATGTCATCTCATATCCAAACGACGTGCCGCTTGTTACCTCCATGACGCCCTTTTTCTTGTGGAGATGGCTCGTTCACTCCGCTTCAGGTGCCCGGGACAGTTTTAAACTCAAGAACCCCTAAGGACTTATACAGTCAAAGTGGTCTTGGAGATGGCACTGGCACTCCGCTTCGATGTGAAAAAAGGACGTCCATCCGTTCAGCACCGAACCACCGGGGGCCCCGGTCGGTCGGGTGAAGCGCCACGACTCGGTGGTGGCAGGTCGCTGAAGTCGTAGGAGACTGACCCGAAGGGTATGGAAACAGGTCGGGTACTGGATCTCGAATTCTGTTTGCAGGTCCATGAAGCGTTCAAAACCATCGGACATAAGGTTCTTGAATGATTTGAATGCATCTAGAATTGCCATCCCAATCGGCATTCCTGCAGTGCACCTGGCTATCCCCATGAATGGTTACCCTCCTTTTCCAAACTCCTCCCACACCCTCACTCTTCGGTGCCAAAGCTCCTGGAGATCATCGGGGTCTCCGTACTTGATTGATGGGTAGCCTCGAATGCCCACCTGCGAGCACAGCATGCTCGTCCATTTCGATGGGGTGGAGGCCTCTGGGGGGGGGGTGGATCTCGTGTTGAGGGGAGGCAAGGAACATACTTAAAACATCTTAAAACCACCTGTTTGGTATTCGGATGTATTTGGAAAATGGTCCTCCAAGGGACAAAGCCATCCACTTCATTCCACTTCCATGATTATTTCAATCAGAGTATGGTGATTTATAGTTCCTCACTGACCATGTCGTTGTTCCATCCAATAGCCATCCTTTTGGGTGGTGCTGGTGTTGACTTCTTCGTTGCTTCGACACCATCTTGCAGCCTGAATCTTCTGCAGAAGCAAACCCCAAATCCTTACACTCAGCTTTCCTCACAGCTGAAAGCAGTAGAAGGCATGCTGCCCAGCGTTTGATCAAGTCCCAAACCCTCTATCTTTGAAGTTTCCCTGTCACGGCAGGACAAATGATTGAACATATAAACCCTCAAGAATGGCAGCTGGCAAACCGATTGGAACAGAACCTAAGGGTTGGGGTTTCACATGCCTTTCATTCGGTGAAGAAGGGCGGTGCATCTTGGAAGATGGACTAGCGGCTAGGCCAAATGGACCAGCACCCGACTTCACAGGTCACCAATGGAAAGCTGCCTGCAACAGGGCCTAACTCCCAAGCCTCCAATTCAGAGACATTGTCCCTCCCAACACTTTCACACTGAAAGTACTGCAAGACTCTGAGAGCACTGGAAGGTCTCTGAGACCTATCGTCGGGTGCGAGAGTATGTACTCCTGCCCTCCTGGTATGTAGTCGAGGGTCTCCCCTCTCCTTCGACCTTCCAGGTGACACTTTCCTTCGATCGAGTCGTGAGGCCAGGCCGGTGTGTCTATAGCCGGTGAGGCCGGTGTCCGGGCCGGGACAACGATAGTTACATAGAAAAACATAGAACAACAATCATGTAACTAATGCTTAACCCATCTAGCCACCAGTGAATTGGTTGGTCTTCTTGAAAGGAGGCATTGGCGTATTCGATTAAAAAAAACACACACACACAACTCATGAAGCCTGGTCCAGCAACTTCAATGAGTTCGTTGAGATACACATGAAACAAAGCATCGATGGTGGATCTGTGCTATGGGTCCACACTCCTATGGGTCGTTTCCATATAGCTCCCATCCTCCTCCATCCTCCATCCATGCCATGCCAGCTCCACCACCTCCCACCGGTCCTGACCGAACCGGTTCGAACGGTGTCCGGTTCGCCTCTTCGCACTTGCTCTTGCCCCCGGCGGTGCAATCCACATCGGCGATGAGAACAGAGGAGGAGCCCTCGAACTCCTTCATCAGCTTGTCCCAATCCTCGGAGGTTCCGGATGGAGGACTTGGGGGAATCGGATGATTTGGGGTTTCTGTGAGTCAGATTCCTCAGATTTTGTTCCGCGGATGGAGGACTTGGGGGATCTCTGAAGGTTCTGTGGGTCGCAGGGTGCTGAGCTGCCGTGGGCGGGGAAAGAGGCGGAACCAAAACTGGACCACGTCACGTTCTGGATGATGACATTCAGGGGGACGCGGAGAATCTGGCCTTTAAACATGAAAGACCATGGTCAATCATGTGGCCAATGGACCCATGCTGAAAACTCCAGCATACTTGAACATAGTAATTGCATGTAATTACTTAGATTTCTACGCCCATGTTCCCTTACAAAGACTCATCCAAGATATGCAGCTTGCTACCGGTCTGACTTCCTGCAAGGAGCTGAAAGTATCTCAGAGTCTGCTGGTGTCATCCTCAACATCCTTGAGTCTGCTGGTGTCATCTGATTGTGCAGGATCCATTGCTGGTTCCAACCAAGTAGGATCACACATAAGATGACAATACCAGGCCCTCACTCACATGCATACAATCATGTCTTCAAACCAACCCAATGCCGGACTTGAGGATCCTGCATTCTTTCGCAAGCTCCTTACTAAAGGCACTCCCTGGCTGGCTTAAGCGTGCTCGGGAGTGCCAAGGCCTCTCTGCGACTCAAGGCTCGGGCTTCATCTTCTTGCAGTGGCCTCACCTCAGAATCGGAGGCCAAGAAAGACAACGTGAGTCTTCGGAAAGACAACGCGAGACGACTGGGCCATAACTGCGTTACGGTTCCAACAGTTTCCAGGGGAAGAAACACTTAGCACCGGCACCTGGAAGATCCTGAAAAACGATCACATCGCAACCAAAAGAACCTCTGGCAGTCTAACTCTCGAAATGCAGGAGTCCTTCAGCCAAAGCTTCACACATCTTCACACCGGCCTTCCAAGGTGCGCCCAAGCACTTTCTTCGTTCATCAATTCCTGTGGTCCGTGGTTTTTTTCTGCAGAATGTCCCTCCCTCGCTCCCTGTTTCCAAGGGAGAGAGAATGGCCAAACTGCCACGCGATTTTACGGGTTGGAGTGGGGCCCAGACGGATGACCCATGATGAGCCAAATCAGAGCAAAATCAGGTAGTGAACTCCACTTCCATGATTCTTTTGAAAAGGGAGTGTACAAGAATCCGAATCCGGCCCTTTCAGATGTGATTTTTCTATCCAGGCCTTCCCCTTTGGATCCGATCGATCTGCTGCTGAGAGAGCGAGGCGCCAGGGAGCCAGGAACTTCACGAAGACGGTTTTGCCACTCACCGCCGCGTCCCAGGTCTCCTGGGACAACGACTTGAGGACGTCTGCGATATTTTTTGCAAGGAACATGGGTTTTACCTTGCAAGGAACTCTAAACCAAAGTAGTTTGCTATGATTTTTGCAAGGAAAACGGGTTATACCTGACAATACCTGAACCTGAAAAAAGGGGTGCCCTGTCTGGAGGTCCCGGATAGTAGTGGGCTGGGGCTTCCAGCCAGGTGACCCCGTACTGAAGGTGTTGGTACGCAGGTTTTATAGGTGTTGAAATGAGCTCAGAGCTACTGCCTCTCTGGGATGGATTTCAAACTCCAATCTCTGAGACATGTTCAGCCCAAACCCTCAACCCATCTAAACCCTGAACCCCAAACAAATAACATACCATTAACATCCCTCGATTCTGCCCCCGCCCAAAAAAACCTCAAACCCTCCCGTCCTTGGTGAGCTCGGTGGCTCCGGCCAAGCTTAGAAGCAAGAATCCGAGTTTCATGGCAAGGCGCGTCGTCTCTCGTTTGGGGTCGTCTCTGTTTGGCGCAGTTTCTCTGAGCCAAAAGGGTTGGAGAAGCGTCATACACGTTGTCTGTGACCAATCATGATGTGTTTGTCATTCAGACTGAGACTGTACATATCTGTACATTATTCTTTCACTAAACCTGTTTCAATGGAAGTGCAATTGTTTAGGAACCAGGTGGTTTGTATGTCCTTGTGCATAATGTTGATCTCATTTATTTGTTTTCAGTCCCCAACTGGATGGATTTTTGGTTGGCAAATCTATGGCATGGATAAGAGAGGTCTCTAATCACACTTTGTCATGCTGTTGATGGAGACCCGGAGTATCCCCAGGGTTTCTTCGGAATAGTGCAAGGTGTGGCCCATCAACAGCATGACCCTACAACCTCAAACTTCTTTAGTTCAGAACCCTTGCGACCCCTAATACGCATCAATATTTCATGTTTGCTTGATCGATTAACTTGGTAAAGATTTTGTTTCTACCATCTTGGATCCACTCCACCATGGTGCCAGGGTCGGAAGGGTCGGAAGGGTCCCATTCACATTCGGCATCTCAAGCCCCAACGATACAGAACCCCTTTGAGGGAGATTAGCCCATTCAATACCAGGGAGATGTGACATATGTTTGTAGATCATAGATGGCACCAAAAACCCTCTAAAAGGTGCCAGATCTTCAACCCAACTTGGGGGGATTGTGCACTCTCCTCTGAAAACACGGCTGTCCATGTTTTCAACTGTTCGTATTAAGTATAATATATGTCCAAATATCAGATATATACCTGTGAACTCCATGCGCATTACGAATAGGAACATCACGAGTTGTGCAGCCCGGCTTCTTTGTTGCGTTCAGGACATGTGTTTTGGCCCTTCAACCCCAAGAAGTGTTGCTCATCAACGCTGCAAGTAACTGGGGTGAAGCGACGGGACTGGTAGACCACTGAGTTGCGGTAGACCACCATGCAGTGGTCGATCTCTTGATGCAAGAGTCGGCCAGAAAGAATCGAAAGCAACACCTGAACTGAAGGAAATGGCCCGACAAATACGGAAGGTGTTCAGGGCGCTCTGAGTTTTCACTCACACTTCCCACTCTTTGAGGGTCAAAACCGACCTCCCCTCACCTGCCCTCACTGGTGGCTACACCGGCGCGCTGGCGCGCCTCGCGTTCACTGGAGCTCCGGTGTGGGCCTGGTCTCGCGTTCACTGGGCCCCGTCATGCTGTGCGTCGTCGTGAAGGACGCAGCTGGACAGCTGCACTATCCTCTTGGGTATCATGTGCAATTCCCTAGGGATCCAGTCGTACCGAACCTCAGGTACGGTGATGTGTTCGACACCGTTCTGTAGGTGCCAAAACGTCGGGTCCAGTCGTAGCTTCTGAGAAGGTGATGTGTTCGACACCGTTATGTAGGTGCCAGGAGGGTCCAGTCGTAGCTTCTGACAAGGTACGACTGGATCCCTGCGGATTAATCCCGTCCTCCTAATAATAAACACAGGCCCCCCCCCCCTATTAAAAAAACCTCGGTCGCATTTTTTCTAATAGGGGGTCCCTGAAATCGGGGGGGCCCAAAATAGTGTCACTTGGAAAGAGTTTCAAAACCAAAAAGTAATCCAGGAAAATTTTATATAAAATCCTTTATTAAACTCGTATCAAAAATGCAAAAAACCGCCAGATCGAAGGGTCTTCTTCCTTTTCCCCTACAAAAACCTTCATTAGAATAGTGATTCTTCAGTAGACTAACAGCTAAAGCTTTCGAAAGGTGATGTCGCTGTGCCATGCGGTGTTGCATGACCTCGGTGGCAAGTGCGTTTGCGTGAGTCCGTGCCATTGAGGGAAGGAAAGCCTGCTGGTGTAAGCGCGGCGTGTCATGGTGGAGTTTTGGGGAACCTAATTAAAAAAACTACCCCCAAAATCGACCATGTTGGTAGCTTAGTAGCGGTTTGAAAGGGCGGCAATTTAAAACCAAATATAAACCGAATTTAGGGGTTCGGACGTGGTGTTTTTTTAATTGGGGAGTGTTTATTAATAGGTACTCGGGATTATGAGAATCACAAAGACTGAAACCATCTCTTCTGTGATTTAAACAATGCGTTATGAAACCACGGCCATCGCCAGCTCAAGCTCCAGCTCCTCGCCCATCAGTCCACTCAAACACACAAATGAAAGTGGCAAATGCTTTCTCTGGACACTCCAAGAATCCACAACAAATGACACAAAATACAGTGAAAACCAACAAGTACCATCAAGTACTTTGTGCCAAACAAACACATGTGGTGTCGCATCGAAATCACTGAAGTTGGTCATATAAAAGCACTACTCAATAAGCTTTTCAGGACCGGCTTTGACCCTGGGTTGGACTGGACGTGTTTGTGTCATCCTTCCGAAATGCGGAATTCGATTCTTCATCCAAGAGACAGGGTGAAATACACCGCTCAATGCCTTGGAGGCGATCGGCCACTGGTCCGCTGTTCCGGGCTGTGTGTGGGCCGGAAACGAGTGGAGTGTTAAACGTTCTTCCATGGAGTTGAGGCATCGGAGTCGGAATCGATCATAGTCATAGTTATATACGTAGTTTCAGGGAATGTGGTTTCTGATTGATTTTTGTTTGTTGGTCCTTTTATAAACCTGATTAGCACCCAGTGAATCATTGCAAGTAGGCTACTGGCTCGTCCAAAGCCGCTGTCTGAGCGTTTTGAACCAAGTGTTGTCCTTTTGGAGGTTTTGACATCAATCTGGCCTTCTTGACCCCTATGACATGATCCTCCAAGTTCAAGCTACCGAGCCATTTGAGTTTTTCATCCCTTGGGAAAATGGAAGCATCTTGGTTTGCTTGGACTTGGAGAGGACCATAGAGGATGACATCCACTAACAACTGGAACAGTGAACCACTTCTAGAAGCAAACAATATGTTATGCTTCGTTTGGATGCCCTTCCTAACAAACAAACAAACGAACAAACAAACACACACAGCAGCTGGTCCAGAACACTCTGACAAAGTAACATACATATCTTCCCATGATTTTTTGGCAGCCTCCATATTTACAAAAATAGATTTACTGTAACCACGGAAGGGCAACCAAAAAAAAGATCTGAACCATTGTCCATGATCTTTCGAAGGATGAATCGTGTCTTGTTTTGCTTTTCTTCTGGGAACAATTAAACAAACAAACATCCGAACAGGGTTCCTTTCGAGGACTCAGACCCTTTGCAGAGTCATCCATGGCCGACATCGCCACGACCTCGGCTCGCGCATGTTAACGGCGGGCTGGGCGCTCCCGCAGCGACAACGGCTCGACATCACCTGCAGATGGGCGGTTCGGCGGGGCGCAGGCCGTTCGGCCCAAGCTGAGCATCGTTCGGAGCTTGCGGATCGTTCTGAGCATCGTCTTGAACTAAAGGACCAACTCCCCTGAGTGCTCCAAAGCCCCGCATCTCTCCCATCAAAAGCATCCTGGACTGAGTGTCTGATCAAGTAAAGGCTGTTGGGTGTCCAATTTTGATCTCTTTCACTAATAGATACAACAGAATACAACAGAATACGACAGGCTCTCCAACAAAAGTGAAACATCCATGTTTCATGGTCACATCGCCGATGTTTCTTGTAGCCAAACAACCATGAGTTGCAGGTACACAGAAAGCAAATCCCATCCACCTACCTGTCAAATGGCGGCCACAGCACGTTGAAATACTTTTGCCCCATTCTTCAAAGATAGGGACAACTTTGACTTCGCCCCCCCTCGACACACAAGTCGCAGAAAAACACACAAAAAACCCTGGCATCACAAGACAGTCAGCTGGGTCTCTGGCACTTTCCCAGCGGCACTCACGCGCGCGAAGAGTCGGTTCGTTGCTCGCCCTACATGAGAGTCACAGCTGCAGCGTTCTCCACAAGTACGCCACGTGGCTTCCTCAAATCCGCAGCTTTTGACTACTCGTGACGACTCTGGGAGGATCTCTCATCTTGAAAAATCCACCGACGTCCGAAGGTTGCAATCCCTTTGCCACTTGAGCGACCCCCCAAACGACTGCAAAGGACAGCTGGAACTTGTGACATGGGCATTCGTGTGCAAACATCCTCTGGCCTCTAGAGGCAAGAAGGGACGGAATTGCAAGCTAGCCTGAAGAAATGTCCGTGTAACATATCCAAGTCTCGTACAAAGCAAAACAATTATGCTTTATTGTTTTATTGCAACAAACACGACTATACCTGGTGACCACCCTGAAGTGCTGGCAAACTCCCCAGATCAACTTGGATAAATAACCTCCAAACAGGTGCGGCACGACATTTACTACATGCTTCAGCTCCCAATAACAAGCTTCTCATTAAACTGTCCTGAAAAACGCTTTTAGCAAACAACAAACAGAGGGAGTACGCAGGGTCCAAACACCCTTGTATCCAACACCTCTTGAATGAGTAAGCTGGACCACCTCGCCACATATCGGCACCCCCCAAAAATCAAAAATTTCCTGGAACCTGAAGAACTGAAAATACAAACACACTGATCAGTGTCTTATGGTTGAAGGAAGCTCTCTACCACCAGGGAACCCTCGAACCTTCCCCAAACCAGTTGAACAATTTGCACTCCCTGACCTCCACTCATGGAACTCACGTGGTTCTCCCACCACCTGGGACTGGTTCTTCGGAGTTCCCCGGGTCATCCGGGTCATCGCGGCGGCGGAGTGACTGGTGCCCTCTATGTGCGTGCTGTCTGTACTGACCGACCATCTCCCAGGCCATATCCATCGGGACTGGCAGGTCGTTCACCAAGACAAGGCCAGAGCCCCTGGCCATTTCTCAACCACCCCGAGACCCGATCGGTTGGACCTGCCAGTCCCATGGATGGTCTGGGAGTGTACTAGAAGGACCTGATGGGCCGAGTTCCGGAGCTCACCAGGTGAAACCAAGCCACGCTGGGAGAACGCGGGGAGAACGCGGGTGCCTGGGGTGCGACTTGGAATGCTGACCAGGCCCATGGGGGGCCTCGTAGGGGGTTCTTGGGCCTCCAAAGTATGCAGAAGATCCACTGCTCAGAGGGTCATCAAAGAACAAGCAAGTAACTCAACAAGTAGGTGGAACTCCTCATCCTGCATCCAAAACTTCATCCTACTTCATCGTCTTAAGGTCAGCGGTCATCGAGAATTCCAACTTGCTGGAGCCGGGCCTTTGAACGTGACTGGGGTCTGCAGGCAGAGCGCCTTTGGTGATCCATCCAAAATCATCCAAGCGTTGCGGTTCCACTTTTTACCGACATTGGCCCTGCGGCGGTGCCTTTCCCCGCCGAACAACGCTCGTCAACCGTCGTTCTTCAACGGCTGAAAAAACCATTGCTGGAGTGAGCTGCCTGCGAACGGTCAGGCAAGCCGGGCGGAGCTAAAATGTAATGTTTCATGAACTCCTTTCTAGCACGCGGGGGAACAACTGGGCATTGCCCAAAAACGAGCTGTGGAGGAAGCTTTGCCAAAAACATGGAAGATTCTTCTCAAACAAATGGCCAACTTCTCAGGCAGCTCTTGGGTGAATGCATCAGCTGGGAAAGCTAAGCATCGCTGTGGAAAGCAATCCGGACGCCGGAGCTTAAACTAACTTCTTCGACCCGGGCAGCCCTAGCACTATGCTCCCGCCATTTGTAGTCAGTTGTCTGAGCCTCTATGTTATGTTGTATTCAGAGGCAAAGGCCGTCCAGAATCCATACATATCATTGATGAGTTCGAAGCCACTGGGACGACTGGGAACTGAACCAAGTGATGCAGTAATCATAAAACATCCTTATGAACAACATCCTGAAACGACTCAAAAACCCAAGCCGCCCAAAACCGCTCCATCCTTGATTTCATCCATCCTCCCTTAGGACAATCATAGGGTCCACGACAAAGACCGCCACGCCATCGCTAGTAGGTTGGAGGCCCATTCATATTATATAGGTTGCAGGCCCATCGCTTCTAAGTTGGAGGCCCATTCCTAGTAAGTTCGATGCCCGTCGCTCTCAACTCGCCTCATCTCCGCGGCACGCGCCCCGCGGGCACCGCGCTGGGCTGAGCCCACGAGCTCCGCTGCGCGCAACGCTCGAGCTCCGCTGCCAGGTCGGCCACATCCCGGGCACCTGGGGTACCTGATCGCCCAGGCTGGAACGAGTTGGTGAGTGAGTGGCTGCCCTGAAGATGGAAGTTCATCTTGAAATCCGCTGGGTTGTAGATTGATGCTGCCTGGAAGTACTTGAAAGCTGTTTTTTCTGGTTGTAGGGTAACTAAGCAAAGATCATGCTTCAGTCAAGTCGACACTGCAGGCTTGTAGTTCAGCTTGGATGCAAAAGGGATTGTTTGGAATTGCGGGTCAAATCTCAACTATTGGGGAGGATGGGCTGATGAAGTACATTCCTAAGAGTCTTGTTTGGCAAAACAAGTACCTATGCCATGGTCAATCATGAGCGAGACCAGGTGTCCAAATACTCTTTAGACAGCCTAAGACGCATCATAAGAATGAAGGGCCGTCAAAGTCCAAAGGACATTGGCTGGAATCACCCTGTGCCTACCAGTCAACCCATGTCGACTACAGCAATTTTAACGAACCACTTTAAATGGCATGGAAGCCTGGTTCTATAGCTATGTACCAAATGACTACACCATGACTTGGCCACTGCCCGAGGCTTGTGCAGCGTTGTACAAAAGTCGTATAAGCTGTCTATAGCAACCCCACATCTGGATGGTTTGGGGGGTATGTGAAGTGTTGAAGAACGCTTCCACCGACCTGGCAGTAGACCTATCAAACTGCAGCTCTGCCATGATCTTTTTCTTTGACCACTCAGGGGATGATCTAGTATGCTACTTTCTGGCAAAGACGCCCCGTCTTTTCCGGTGTATCTAAACATCTTCCACAATCACAAAAGTAAGTAAAGTAAGTAAAACACGTTAAACGTCAAATTTCCCTCCGGGCCATGTCCATATTTTCATTGTGCACCATCCCCGTACTGGTGCAACGAACCTCCACCCGCTGGCCGCGCGGGCATTGCTGATGCCATGCGGGCGTCGGGAGGTCCTCAGGGCAAGAACAAATTGGACCTAGGACCTTGGTGGAGTTCAACACCCAGCAGCTTTTGACAGAAATGAGTGTCTTCTCATACCTTCTTGACCTTGTTGACCTTCCAGGCGGGGGGGGGGGGGGGTTTATTAATCCGGGGACAGAAATGATCTACATCGACCAGCATTAGCATATGTCGGATTAAACGACACATGTCTATGATTTTCTCTGCTTCCAAGGCTCTTGAACCTGGACGTGGTGCACCCACGCGCGCAGTTTGTGGCGGTGTGGGGACGTGCGCTGCGTGAGGGGCGGGAGCTGCTGCGTGAGGCATGACGTTCAAAGGCTCCCAGGAACCTGGGGTGTGGCAAATGACCGAGTCATTTCATCATATCTGGATTTGATCTGGATTTGTGATTTATAAACCATAAATTATACGTAAATATACAACAATGAAAGCAACAGAATTCACAAACCAATCCGAACATGTTCCCTTTCCTTTCCGGCTACAACGTTCATTCTGATTTATTCTGTAGACAAAACGGATGAAGCATTGTTGGCGGTCATGATGAGCTGGTGGCTAAGGCGGTGTGCTGCCTACTTTAATCTAATCCTCAAGTGCAAAGTACTGGATCTGTCAGCACAACAAACCTAAGCAGCTTGTCTTTGGTGTCCAAAAATGAATAGATCAGAAGTCCTGCTCTGCACCCCGGAGGTCTAACTTCAAATCCGTATGGCTTGTGTGGGGTCGCTGGAAGTCCTCAAATTGGCCAAGACTAAGACTTATAGAAAAGAGCCCATAGGACTGCCTTCCACTTCAAACATCAATTCATCCTGGTGGGCTTTCCAAACACTACTGTATGGTTTCTCCTTTCTGTTGAGTGTTTCCACCTCCAACCGCAAAAACCAAACAAGTGAACACACCACTCCACCACGCACAGCGCCGAGTGGCCCATCCCAGCCCCGGCCATCCCCGGCCGCGCGCTGCTGGGGCGGAGCGGCGCGGTCGCGGAGACTGGCTGCCACCTTGAGCAATCGGAGGAACAGGACCAGAGGATCTTGAAGATGAACTCACTAGCTGCACTAGCTCCAGTGCGACCGTTGGGTAAAAGTACGTTGAAACTCCGGATCTGAGTTGTTGCGCAGATAGATAGAAGCCCATTGATAAAAGGTTGTGTCGCAGTCTTGAGTGTTCATGCTCAGATCAAATGCTTCTGGATCTGAAAAAATCATGTGCATCCAAGAAAAATCAAGTGCATCCAAGACTCTGTCCTTCCTCAATGACCTGCCCCTGCACCACTGCACCCGGCACTACCGGCAGTTGCTGTGCCCCCGCGCCCGAAACGGCACACGCCGCAGGCGTCGCAGCCTGCGCGGCTGCGGTGCACGGCGCGCCGGAGCGACGAAGCTCGGACTGGAGGAGGTTCATGCGTTCGAAGATCCGCTCCACGGTCATGTCGAAGTACTGCAGCTGGCCTTGGATAGATGCAGCTGGCCTTGGGGATAGATGGTGACCGTGATTCGGATGTCCCTGATCTTTTGTGCTTCTGATTAGGTCCTAGACAGGCACAAGTCCTGGTACTTTCTAACACGTTCCATAAATCTGGCACCACCGTTCTTGGGAGCATGGAAAAGCCAACTCTCTGGATCTCTCTGGCCGACCACCTGACCAAACAGGTGGCATTCTGGGAGCTGTTTAGGCCCGCAACCGATCTGTGGACAAGCGACACTGCGAATGGACAAAGCAAATCAGTACACATTGAGGGAACTGACACACAGAGGCGAAATCGCTCTGTAGCTCTGTGACACTTCGCAAAAGGACCACTCTGAAGTTCCAAAGAAGTGATCGATGTGAACCAGTGAAGACGACGTCAGTCCAAGCTCAATGGGACCGTCCACTCCATGCAGTTCGATGGTGCACCTCTCAGACACGCAGACCACCGCGGTTGGACGTTGGAGCTCCGGCTGGTTGGAAGTCGACTGTGGTGCTAGAGTTCAACTCGTAACCGTTGGGACTGGATCGCTTTCATTTCAGGTTCCCTTTCACTGCCACGTGGAGATTTCTGCCCAAACCACGGTCGCTCCAGCTGTTTTCTTGCTGGCTGGTCACTCTGGGAGCTGGCCATGATCATGTTGAAGACATCGGCCAAATCCCTGGCCGAGGGCACCGACCAGCGCCCGAAGCCGTCGTTGGTCATGGTGGCTCCACACACTCGATGCCCTGGCCGGTGCAGCTCGTCGACCGAGGCGCCAGTCCGGTTGTCCAGGGAAAACCCATGATTCTGTCAGGGGAGTGTAGATGTTCAACTGGTTTGGGGAAGTTTGTTGTTTTCTTTTTTCAGGTGGTGATGGAGATGTTCCTTCCGTCGAGGGAAACAGGAACAAATGATGGAGAACCGACTGGGAAAGGGAAACTTTGGCGTACCCCTCATGCAACATCTAAAAATCTGCCAGTAACCCGCGAAGCAGCAAACCGTGCTTAATGCGTTAATGGCTATAGAGCATGTGACATGTGTGTACTTTTCACAAGCTTGCCGTTGCGCCTGGGCACAAAACATAATATTCATGTAAAGCAATGCTCGGCAACACACAGAACAGTTGCAGGCCCCTTTCAGTCTCGTAGCCTCGGGCTTATTTGCAATTTGCATTGCATGATTCATGGCCGTTTCAACAATAATTGTCCGTAGAACGTAAGCACCCCATGATGATTATGGTTGTTTCATGTATCCATCCATACCACTTCATGATCACCACCTCCGACCACCTCCTTCCAGTACCCCCCAGCCTTCACAGGCAATGTAGCCGGCACCCACCATCGCTGACCTCGGGTCCAGCACGTCCCGTCGAGCAACACACAAAGGATGGCGGTTGGCTATCTTCATCCCATCGCAGTTAGTGGATGAGGATGAACAGCTACTCTTGGCTCTTGGTGAAGGCATATACAGTATATATAGGGTATTGCGCGAAACTGGATAAACACATCACCAAACCCTTATTAGATAAGGACCCTCCGTGCATTCATGACGAAACGTCTAGGTAGCCCAGCAAGTGTTGGCATTTGGAGCGATATGGGCTGAATTAACTTTAAAAAAGAAAAAGTTCGACTTGCAGAAGTCAAGGGAGCCAGGAATCTGCCATGTTCCTCTAGTTGAATTAAGCACAGTTTTTGTTCAGGGGACACAGCCAGGTGTTCTCTTGTAGCCACCAACACTCCCATGGAGTGTCTGTCGTGTCTGGGAGGGATTTCACCATCCCAGTCACACGTAGCTGAAGTTTAAGGGCGCGCCAGGGCGAAGGACACCCCAGCAGTTGGCATGGCCTGGTCACAAGGGCCAGGCGGCCAGGCTTACGGTGCGTCGTCTAGGGCGATGGGTTTGATGGGTTGGATGGGTGGTGTTACAACCCTCACGTCTTAAGAAAGAACATCACAATGACTTCCAGAAGAATAGCTATATATACATTATAGTCAATCAGTTTGTAACAAAGTTCTGGACATGTCCTTCATGCCAAGAAAATTACATGTCCGGAGTTCTACATGGCTTAGTTCAATATCGACCATCATCAATGTTTTTCTCGCAAGATTCGGAACCTGAAACAACATCTCTCTCACTCTCTCCCCCGCGCGCGTTTGCTCTTCCCGCGACGCCTGTGGGCTGGTTCTGCACCCACTTGGACCCACCATACAAGCCGTGGCTGATCACGCCGGCGGGCAGCAAGTCCACCATCTTGCCTTTGCTCTTCGCCGATCGACGCGGCCTCGCGCGGCAGAGCGACGCGGCCGCGGCGGCAGAGGGTCTGGATGACCAGAGTGAGGCGATCCTACGGAAGACAAAGAAAAACCCCTTGCGAACTCACCATGCTCCTCTCAGGCAGAGGCTTTGGGCACTGCCAGCTTAAGAAGTTGGTCTAGACCTCTGAGATGAGGGCCTAGACCCCGAAAACGCTCCAAGTTGGTATTTCGCAGCCTCAAGCTGATTCCCCTGGCACCTCCACACCCGATCCCCAGCCTCTTCGCTTTTGGCTGGCTTGGCTCTTCGCTCGGCGGTGTCACTTGAACAGCTCAGGTCGGACCCAGGGCAACAATCTCCAAACCCAGGGAGAACTACTTGGAATCACAGACATAGTTTGAACCATACACGGGGTTCAAACTACATTAGGGTGGTAACTACATGGAATTCCAACCACAGTTCTATTCATCCATGGGGTTCCCAAACAATCCAGAACTGGAATTACACCCATCCTTTTTCACCTCCCAGTTCCCAGCTCCCCCAGCTCCCGTTTCCTTAACGAAGCTACGCACGAGCAGTTGAGGAATCTTGATGGGACTCCATGAAGTCCTCCATACCCAGACACTCCATGGGACTGCCATATGGCGCCCCATTCACCCCCAGTCAACCACCCCAATGTACGAGTAGGTATATGTGGCAGTCCCATGGAGGGTTCGAATTCAATCAAAAACCAGGACACCCGGACCAGAGGTGTGAAAAACTTGATAAGCCCCTTATTAGAGTTTTCGGGTTATTTGGGGGGTGTCCATGAACCACCCAACTCCGGTGGGTCCTAGGTCCTATGTCCTGTTGGAATTGTCCCACCTGTTTTGCTCGTTTTCTTAAGCGTTCGAACGCTACTATCCTTCCAGCGCTGGTTGACCAAGCTCCCGCGACTTGAGTCACCGTTCGGAACTCCTTCGTGTGAAACCAAGTCACCCGGAACCCCAACGGGAGTCTGGGAGACGAGCTACGTCGCTGCTCCCAACGGGTGGAATGGCTCGGGGGCCGAATCACATGTCCTCCCAGCCGACCATGAAGATTACGCCTAACTGATGTTTGAGTGAGGTTCTCCTCAAGTACGAGGTTGGAAGAACGGAGGTCATTTCGTTGACTCCAACGTAAGAAGCAGGGTGGCTTCAAATCCGTCCACCGCCGACTGGTTCATTGGTTGAAAACAACACCGACACCGCCGCCATCCACATGTCTCAGATTTTTGCCTTCCCCTGGCAGAAAAGTTGCGAAGGTCAGGTCCTCCTTCCCAGCAGATGAGGGGCGGTTTGGGACACCACTGCCCAATGTGTGCATGATCCGCGGTGAGACCCATGGTACCAAGGATAGTGTGAAGACATGTCTTCGGCGATCTTTGAGCCTCATTTCTGCCCATCTGCTGGAAAAGTGACTACTGGTCGCAGCACTGCAGTGCTGACCAAGCCCCCGGTGTTCCACCGCGCGGACCACGGAAACACCGGCACGGTTCCCGGCGCGACTGCCTCATGCAGTCGCGCCACGGCAGCGGCACAAGAACGAACGGAGATGTGTTGCACACCTATCCGTCGCGTGGTCGCGTGGCCCAAGTCGCACCAAGTCAATGTCATGGAGTTCTTCTTGGACCCCTCTCTTGGACAGAATGAGAAATTGACCTCTTCATACCTCTTCATTTTTGGAGAATCTCTGGTGTAATGATAAGTATTGCACTTTTGATCAATGTAAACTATGCCAAATATAAGCACACATCAGCGCTACCCAGCAGCTTTTGAATCTGCATGTTTGTTCTCTTGCGGGATGTCTGATCTGCTAATTATGGTGTCCTTTTCTTCCTGGTGTTCTCTTATGCTTGCATTTGTTGCGCTGTAAATTTTGCTTCATGTTGCTTCCCTTTGTGTAGTGACTGGAGGAAAAACTCCCTTTCTAGCCCAAGAGTGACCCCGGGTGATAGAGGGTCCACGTTCCTTGGCCAAACCAAATCCAGTGGTTCTTCGTTCAATTAACACATTGCACGAATCCATGTTGTTTTTCATTGAGCTCGGGATGGTATGGGTCCTCCACTGGGTCCTCCGTATCGCCACCTTTCACCTTTCTGTTAAAGGCTTCTGAGCCATTGAAACTGAGGTATTTATGCAAATGGATTGATTCACCCACATGTTTGCACATCAATTTCTGGCTGAATCGAGTGCCCCTTACAGAACTCCGTGACCAACTGTACATCTCATGGTTCTCTGTTTTTTCTGACTCTACGTGGCGTTCGACTCAGTCGTAGCAACAGAACGACATGTCTCAAAAAACATCCGAGTCAGAGCATCGCACTCAGACGTGCTCAAACGGACTCAAAGGTTCATTAGCCCATTCTTCAAGCGATCCATTCTTCAAGTCTTCAAGCGCTGCAGTTCACCTCGCCGGCAAACGTCAGGAGTCCGACTCGGAGTCCGACTCGAGTCCTCGCCGACTCGCGTGGGAACGGACCGGTGACCGGTGACCGGTCTGGTGTGGGGACGTCATCTGAAATGGTTCACTTGATCTTGCAAGGTCAATGACACCCTATGATCTCCAACTACATTCTTGATATATATATATATTATATATAATGTATATATATATAGTATTATAAAGTATAGACACTACACCGGATACATATAGACAATAAAAGGACTTAGGGTGATCTGTGGCCAGATCAAGAGCAATGAGATTTATCCAAGTCGTGACCTGACAAACTCGGATCTGTCGAGTTGGGGCGTCACCTGAGTCTCTCCGAGCAAACCACGTGTAGCCAGACAATTCAGCAGCTGTTTTTGGAATGGATCGATCCTTATTATGACCTTGAAATCAACCCCAGAGCCCAGAGCAAATGGTCTCAGGTATCTTTGGAGCGCTAAAAGACAGGATGCCTCCGCCCTCCGCTTGGTTTCCAACCACCTGACCCACCCCGGAGACCTCCGATGTGAAGCACCCGTCCCTCAAAACGGAATTTGAGACCCTAGACCCCCTCCATACCCAGCAGTGACAAAGGGCTGCCTATTGGAGGATAGGGGTGTCCACTATCCACTCACTGGATGGGACAAAACACCACCCCGTCTTGTGACCCCCTGGTATGTGAGGATGGACCAGGGGTCCGCATGTCTTCAGATCTGGGTCCATGACCGTCTGGGCAAGTCCATGTCCGATCCCTCCACACCGTCACTCGCCGGAACTGCTTCGGCTCTGCCAGGATGCACAGCTGTAGCCCGAGTTCAGATCCGCGGAGCTCGGAGCGGAGCTCGAGGAGCTCCTTCTCGAAGGGAGGATTGGTGGTGGCTCAGCGAGATAGGTTGAGAATGATTTAGACCAGTCGGCCTTAACTGGCCTACCTGCCTGATCCAACAAAGGCTTGTTCCATGTGGACCCTGATGCAGAGTTGGGTCAAGTCATGTTTGGAGAGTTTTCTTTCCTTGGAGGGGTTTGCATTCCACAGCCTGCACTAGACCAAGACTCTCAGTGGTCTTGCACCTCTCAAACGGCAATCAACCGTTTGAGGATCTGTGTTTGTTTTATGTTGTTTTATGTCTAATCACCAGCGATTTGTGGAGATGCCGGGCTTCTATTGGATACCAAGTTAAGGCTTTGCCAACATCTTTCTTGTCTCCCTCGGTTTAGAGAGAAAACCCTGTTTTGCTTGACTGGTCTCAACCAATATCTCAAGACCGTTGCACGACCAAGTTCTACTGCTGGCTGTCCCACCAAGGCCTCCCACCATAATTTCCTAATAGTGTTATCAAACTAAGAGCGACAAGCAGCTAGCAAACTAATTGGATCTACAGTAATTGCTGAAGCTAATTATCATCAACACAAGAACGCAATATATGATTGACCCATAATCCAATGTGCCCTCTTTTGGTCGATCTTGCACCAAAAGGCTTTTGCATGGTATGCCAATACAGGCTTGGATCTTTCCTCAAGCTGCGCTATACCGGGGGGTTGACAGGAAAGCATTCATACCTCACATCTCAAACTCCCTTCACCGCCGCGTCAACCCGTCACCCAACTGTTCTCTTTTCGCCAGGTTGCGGTGAAGACGCAGCCTCGCCCATCGGCTTCTTCACCTGCGGAGCACATGGCGCACCCATCACGTGGGTGACGGCCCCGTGGATCGATCAACGGGGTTTAGGTAGCGGAGACATCGACCAGCCATACCCGCCTGTTATTTTTCCCCAATAGCCATGCTATGGGGTCTTGCAAAACTAATAGGCGGACGGGCGCCGTCGGGTCACCGTCAGAGCTGGTGGGCGGATGGTGTCCCGGTCATGTTGTGATGGTGTCCCGGGCATGTTTTGATGGTGTCCCGATCATGTGATGGTGGCGCGGTCATGTTGTGATGGTGTCCCGATCATGTTTTGATTGTGTCCC